GTTAATGCTACGAAAACTGTGTGGTTCCCTCGCAATTTCATTCGGGCCAACATACATTGGTAGTATGTTTTATCTGCATACTTGTTTACCGCCAAAGCATATTCCGACTCTTACCTACATTCGGAGTAAAATTCATACGCATCTCTGAGTGAATCCATATCGAATCACGGCCTCCACGACCCTCATATATTCCGTGTAAGAAACGGATGCATTAATACGATGCGAAAGCCAAATTACCAACCTTCCGTACATAAGAGGTTGTCTCCATATTTTAAATGTTTCGACACCCTCCACTTACCTTCGTATAATTTTCTATTGATTTAGTGTACATTTTATATTTTGGAAATGAAACTCCAACCTAATTTATACAGCACCCCTCGTCACAAACACTATTCGTCTCATTCCCATATTTACCATGATATGCTTTCGAAACCTTTAGTAATCCACAACCCCTTTTTCATATTCCCAATGCTACTAAGATATTCTTTCGAAACACTAAAGTAATCTTCACAACCCCTTATTTCATAATTCCCATCTTACTCAAGGATTATTCTTTTTTCGAACCTTAAGTAATCTTACCAACCCCTATTTCTTAATTCCCATATTTACTAAGGATATTCTTTCGTAAACCTTAGTATCCTTCACCAACGCTATTTCAGAATTTCCCATTTTGCTGCAGGATATATCTTCAAACCTTAAGTAATTCCCACAACCCCTTATTTCACAGATTCCCATTAGAAGGAATCTTCGAAACCTTAAGTAATCTCACAGCCTATTCATTGATCCATTTTACTAAGGATATTCTTTCAAACCTTAAGTAATCCCAAACCAACCCCTTATTCACAATTCCCGCTCCGACAGAGGAATCCGACCTCCACCCAACCCACTGACGATTTCCTTCTGTTGTACACGTATACGCGTTCAGCGCAGGAAGGAAAGTTGACGAGCAGTAGACCTGACGTCGCATTATAACCTCCCACCAACAGTGGGTTTCATGTACCGCCTGCACCAACGCGCTGGAGGCATAGCTTCAGTCGTGAGGTCCTGCAAGATTTCCGTTGTATTGAACAAACACTCGGAACACACACACACAACACACACACACACACACACACACAAGCACACGCTTAACACACCCACACACACACACAACACACCACACACACACACACGCACGCACGCACGCACAAACACACACAACACACACAACAACCACACACACAACACACACACAACACGCACACGCATTACACACACACACACACCACACACACAAAACACACACACACACAACACACAAACACACACACATACAGCACACCATTACACACACACACACGCAGATATATATATAAATAATTTATATATAATATATTATATAATATATATATATATATTATATCTATTTATCTATCTATATTACACACAACACACAAAAAAAAAAAAAAAAAAAAAAAAAATACAGCCACTCGTTAGTAATGTGCATTGGATTTTCTTTCGACCTCTTATAACAGTACTGGAAAATGGAAATTCCCGGCCTGCGAGCTGCCGATCGGCTTGCAAATCCAGTGTTCTGCGCGGCGGGTCGCTGGCGTTCCTGCCCGGCGGAAGAGGCCGGTCCCCTGAGCCTAGGCCTACCGTCGACGCCCCTGCCCCTCTGGGCCTTGGTGCTCCTTCAGCCTTGTTGTGGTACCATGAGGCGCGTGTACTCGCTACAGTTTCGTAGTATTCACATCGCAGTAAGGTACTGTACGCCGGGCTGTCAAGGAAAAGGAAGCTGTCAAGTATGACAAAAGAAGGTTATGCTCCTGGATCATTTTAATGATTACAACACAGAAGTTAGAAGATTTCTACATGCGCGGTATTAAGCAGAGATGTACTTTTTTCGTAAGCATTATTACCGCCAAAGTATCTCCAAACTCTCGCTGTGCTAGGGAACTTGTCTAACTAAAATGCACACAAAGAAAAGTTTTCCTATAATATATAATATATATATATATATATATATATATATATATATATATTTATATTATTGTGTTGTGTGTGTGTGTGTGTGTGTGTTGGTAAATGTGTTGTGTGTGTTCATTAAAACACGAAAAGAAAGGAAAAAAAAAAAGATAGACAATTTAACCTAGATTAACTACAAGAAATCGAAGAGGATCCGCAAATACGAGTTGAATCTTCTCTGCAGCGACCGTGGCCAGACTGTCCTTTTGTGCAGAGCGTGATCGGCGCCGGGATGCTGGTTGACCGACCTGAGCACACGGGGATAAGACGAAAGGGATTTGTAGGAGATTGAGATGCAATTGTGGACATGCTAATTCTGACCAGAGACTCCTAATGGATATAATCTATGACAGTATTCATGTTATTCTGACCCAGTTTCATGTATTCTGCATCATCATGAGAGTATTAGTACATAGAATGATATCAGTGTATGTACTGCGAGTTTTCATGATTCTGACGCAGTGATGAGTGAGACAATGGTAAGATGCAGGGAACAGATAATTATCGTGATAGTCTGAACAAGTGTATCAATGTATGGTGCGTAGAGCAGATCTCATGTTATATCTGACAGTTATCATGATGTTTTCTGACAGTTATGCATGTATCTTGACGTAGATTGATATCACTGGTATTCTGGCAGTTATCAGTTTATCTGGACAGATTATCATTGCTATCCATGACACGTTATCATGTATTCTGACAAGTTTTCAGTTATTCTGACAGTTATCATGTTTGCTGACGTTACATGTATTAAACAGTTATCATGTATTTCTGACAGTTATCATGTATTTCTGACAGATTATCAACTTCATGGATTAAAACATGCTGATGTTTTGCTAGCTTTGCCTCAAAAGTTTTAAGGTGTATATTTTTTTCACTTAATAGCTAGATTGGCAAGAATGTTAGTATATTGCTCCTATTTCCGTTATACTATTTTTGTCTAGAAAACTTGAATGAATTGATTATGAATAGATTAAAATGACTTCCTATTTCGTCCTTTTTGAAAAATAATGATGAAATTTTACGGCCTTACCTGGTTGGGGCTTTAGAGTCTCTGTAGACGCCGGCGGGAAAGGCATGGCGAGGCCACCAGACGTGGCGCACGATGGGGGTCACGCTGCCCCTCGAGATCCCACTTCGGACGCCTCCACGGGGCACCCCCACGCAGCGCCAAGCACGCAACGTTCCACGCACACCGGGAAACGGTTGGGTTTAGTGGAAGTTCTGTAGAGGGCGTGGATTTGCGGTTTATAAGGCGAATGTATTCTGGCTGCAAACTCAGCGAGAGAGAGATAGAGAGGAAGAAAGAAGAAGAGGTTTATATTTACTATCTGGTGTCTGAGATTGAGAGAGAGAGATGAGCCATGACGAGACGATTTGATGAGAGGAGTGACTGATCGAGATGAGATGGCTATGATGAATGAGAGAGAGAGTTGAGAGAGAGAGAGAGAGAATGAAGGAGGAATGGAAGGAGACGATTGGAGCGAGAGGGGAGATGAAGAAGAGAGGGAGAGAGCAGGAGTGTATAGATTAAGATATGAGCCAACGATAGAAAGAAAGATTATATATATTATATATATACTATATATATATATATGTATTATTGTAGTGGTGCTAGTATTACTATATTTATGTATTATAGTATTAGGGTGATGTTGATGTTATGTAGGGTAGGGTTCATTTATTTAGTTAATAGTTATATGTATTTAGAGAGAGAAGAGAGAGAGAGAGACAGGGAGTGAGAGGAAGAGAGGAGAGAGATTTTCGAGAGAATGATGAGAAGGAGAAAGAGAGAGAACTTGAGAGAGATAAATCGGGACGATATCTGGACAGTGATTCGAGAGAGAGAGTCAGGGACGAGATGAGAGATGAGGTGTGTAGAGATGAGAGATGAGAGATTGAGATGGAGAGAGAGAGGGAAAGACAGTTAGATAGGGATTAGCAAGAGCATAGGTTAGATAGATAAGAATGGATACACACACACACAACACAAACAGACACACACACACCAACCACACACACACACACACACACACACACACACACACACACACACACACACACACACACACACAAATATATATATATATATATATTATATAATATAATATTATATATATATATATATATAGAGAGAGAGAGAGAGAGGGAGGAGGAGAGTGAGAGAGTTTGAGAGAGAGAGAGAGAGAGAGAGAGAGAGAGAGAGAGAGAGAGAGAGAGAGAGAGAGAGAAGAGAGAAGAAGAGAAGAGAAAGAGAGAGAGAGAGAGAGAAGAAGGAGGAGCGATCAGAGAAAAGAGATATATATTTATATATATATATATATATATATTATATATATATATATATATTATATATATAGAGAGAGAGATATAGAGAGAGAGATGAGAGAGAGAGAGAGAGAGAGAGAGAGAGAGAGAGAGAGAGAGAGAGGAGAGAGAGAGAGAGAGAGAGAGAGAGAGAGAGAAAAGATAAGGATTCAAATGATCTTATTGTGTATAATGTTATCTTTGTAGATGTTTATTTTTGTACAAGTGGTTTTTGTGTAATATATGAATGCACGGTCTCTTTGTCGTAGTTATTTTAAGTAAAAAAAAGGTTATATAAAGTAAACAAGTGATAAGCAAATAAATTAATATATGAACCTGTTAATGAAGAAAAGTAGATGATTAATAATTGTTGATGAGTAAAAAAAAAGTTCTCTTTGAATCTGTTTTAGGCAAACTATTTCTAAAAACTGAGGATTTTTGTGTGAAAAAATCATATATCTTATCACCATCATCAAAATATTTGCAAACAAGAGTTGTTCACAAGATTATTTTTATTTTTAGCTACACGGTGATAAAACAATGGAAGAACGTCACCCCGCTCTCGTTATCGCGAAGAACAAATGTAATACAGAACTGGCTGATAAGATATCAATGAAGTTACGATTCAGTTTGCTTTGGGAGTTGGGGAGCGAGGCTCTGAGGCTCATTTGGTCGAGACCAGTTTGGTTTTCGTGTCAAAGAAAACGTGAAGGACACTGAAGTCTCTTTGTACCTTCTCTCCGTTGTGTTTTGCGTCTTACAGTTATTAAATGTTCTGTGTTTTTAACAAAAGTTGAAACTTTAGTGTCTATTTCGATATGATGAATAACGATTGAAAAAGTTTAATTGTAATGATATTTATATAAGAGTAAAATGATTCAGGATCATGTATATTTGGGTTTCGAAGCTTAATGCGATTTCTTGTCTCGTTTCAGTTTGTTTACAAGGACCGGGGCAGCGGTGATGCATCAACTTGACTTCCATCGGTTGACGTGCATGCGTGAGTGACAGTGAATCCTTCAGTAAGATGTCAAACTGAAGAGGATATGAAGGGATGTTGCGTTTGGATGTGATGTGACTTGACACGTAGCACTGAGCGGGTGACCTGTTACGTGCCGATTAAAGATGCGACCTGAAGTGATGACCTAACGTCAGAAGTGGCACAGGAGACCGGACCGGGAGCCGACTGGTTCCATGTGGCACGCAGGGAGGCGTTGCGTCAGCAGTCGAAAGGTGACCCGCCCTATGCGCCGCCTGCCCCTCCTCACGCGAGTCCTATGACGCCACGACATGGCAGACGGAAGCGCCGCCCTCGATCTCTCACGGAACCTCCTGGACGACCTCTTCTCGCACGCCCACGCTGCCCTCATTGGCGAGGACCGAGGCCTCCAGGCAGGCGGAGGCCACGGGCACAAGCGCAAGGGCGCGGAGACCCACGGGTTCAAGCGCAAGACCTTGTTCCTGTCCGCCGTCGGCGAGGCGGCGGCGAGGCCCTTCGGAGACGGCTCCAAGAGGACTCCTTCGGCCCCCTCGGAAACGAACGGGTCCTCGCGCGGTCACGCCCCGAGGCTCACTTGTGTCCTGCCGCCCGCACCGCCCGCCCGCGCGAAGGAGACGATCCTCAGAGTGCCTCTGCGGACGCCGCCCGGTTGCGCGACGTGCCCTCCGATGCCCACGTGCCTCGCCAAGACGCCGTGCCTCACCACTGCCACGTGCCTCGCCAAGTCCGCGTGCCTTCCCACGCCCACGACGCTCCCCCGCCCCGCTGCGCCCTCGCCCCGCAAAATCCTGAAGAGAGCGAGCGCACAAAAGCCGCTGAAGCCGTCCCCTTCCACGCCCGCGGCTTCCCCTCCGCCCACGACGTACCTGACTTCCCCGCCCGCAGATCTGGCAACGCCGCCCGCGTACATGACGTCGACCACACATCCAGTCGCCCCCGATATCCTGACGTCGTACCTGACGCCGCTGCCGACGTATCTAGCGCAGTTCTACGCTCGGTTGACGTCATCGGCGGCGACGCGGCTGGCGACGCGCTTCTCCTCCTTGTCCTCCTCCCTCTCCCCTCCCCCTTCCCCTCTCCTCTTCATCCTCCTTCCTCCTCCTCTTCCTCTTTCTCCCCTTCCTTCTCCGCCCCGACAGCCACAGACGATGAGAGATTTTCCCCGAAGAGAGAAGTGGAAGAGGAACTCGAAGGGAAGAAGGTAAGAGAAATGATAATAATAATAATAATAATAATAATAATAATAATAATAATAATAATAATAATAATAATAAGACAGAATAAGGCTGATAACACGGGTGAAAGGAATATAAACAGATAAAAATGAGGAAAAGAACGGTGAAGTCGTCGCAGTGGTAACGGGAAGCAACAGAAATAAACAGTAGATTATTGGCATCAGTGATATTGGAATTAAATATAAGAGAACATAACTTATCGTCATTCAAGTTACAGATAATAAAACCGTTATCAGTCCTTGTATCTTGAGAATAGTGATTGCAAAACAGTGATATTGACGATGATATGAAATGTAGGCAAAGAGAGTAATGATAATAAGAATGATAAGGACGATAACAATAAAGAAAGTGGTAAAATAATGGTCTGTCTTTTTTTTTATACTATTTTGTACTTTTGTTTATTCATTTAATTAATCCATATCTCTGTCCCTTAGGTGATCATACGATTTAATTTAGAACGTCCTCTAACTTCACGACATATTTATTCACATTTTTCCTCAATCTAGGCCAGTGATTGTTAACCGAGGCTAAAAGTAGGAATTTATCTAATTATACTTGTTAAGGGGTCTAATACTGAGACAAATAAAAGAAAAAGAAAAAAAAAGAAAAAGAGAGAGAGAAAAGCAGAACAAAACATGAGGAGTACCGTCGATGCTAACTTTTTTTTTCTAGTTAAATTTTGCTTATCAATTTTGTATTCCTACCCTCTCCTTATCTCTACGAAACCCATGGAAAAGAGAGGGGGAGGGGTAATGAATTTTATTTGAGTTTTCCGTTTATACTTCTCCCCTCCATTCAATCTCAGAAAAAGGAGAAACTGGCAACTCAGTCTGGCTTCTGGAGTAATCCGAAAAAAAAGTTTTATAAAGAAATCAAAGATACTGAATATGAACTAAAACTTAAAAAAGGAAGGAGAATAAATAAATAAATAAATAAATAAAGTAATAAAGAAAGAAAAGAAGGAAAGAGACAGGATAAGGAAGAACAGAAAATAAAAAAAATAAAGACAAAGCAAAAGAAAGAAGGAAAATAAGAAAAAAAAGAAAAGAAATAATAAAGAAAGTAAAAGTGAAAGATGTAAACAAAAGTATTAAAGGTCAACTATTTAGAATAATAATAATAAAAAAAACTTCGACGTCTGGGATGAGTTGCCAGTTTATCTTTTATATATATTTTTTTACCATTTCCAGAGATTGGACGCACTATAGTTAACCTTCACTCCTAAATTATCTTTGATTTCCCTCGTGCACTTTCTTTGTTTTACCTACATCTTCTCCCTTTGTCGTCTGCCTCCATATTCGTCTTCTTCAATTACGCAATTCCTCAAAACGTTTGACTTTTTAAAATCTTGTTTCAATATTTATCAATTCATTCCCTTATTAACTTATTGAGTGACTGACTGATGAATAGTTTTCCTGTGTTTGTAAAATAGCGTCAAGTGAATCCACTTTTTCGTAGCATATTGTACATTTTTTTTAGTCCATGTTTTCATTCCGCTCGTCATAGCTCTAAATACTTTGTTTTTTCGTCTTGCGTTTATTGTAATTGTATATTCCTCCAGATACTTTTTTCTAAGGATTCCAGCTTAATTAATCCACTCGCTGTTCCACTCGCTGCCCGTGAATCAAATTCCACATCTTTAATACTATGAAAAAAACAATGTTTTGGAGAATATATATATTTTCATTCGCCTCTCTCTCTCTCTCTCTCTCTCTCTGAAAAAAAAATGCCATTTCATTTCCGTTGATTTCTAGACATATTTTCAAAATCTTTCCATTTTTTCTGTCCTATGCTTGTTCATATCCCAAACTTCACTGTCATTCGTAAATACTATAGACTAACATGCACTGCTCTACAACGCCCTTCAGTTAACACAATAATGTCGGAAAGAGCATTATATATGGGCTCTATGAAAACCACCCTGCCTGTACCTAGGTCAATAAGAATTAACGTTACTATTATATCATTATACCTCGTTATCTTGACTGGATCCTGCTTTTCACTGTAGCTCTGACCTCTTTATCGTTATCTTTCACTAATACGTTTACAGTTTTTTTTCTTTATCTTGCTGTATCTCCGTATCTCTTACTTTAGGCCTGTGACATCAGCCTTCTACAGATCGATGAATACGCATTTTTTCCTCTAATCTCCTTGTATTTTCTTCTTGTATTGGTTTTCTAGTCTATTCTAGCTGTTTAATTATCTGTGTTATAATTCACTCATTCATCTGTGAGTCTTGATCCAATCATTGACATTTTTTCCTACTTTTCATTTACGCAACTCATCATTTAACTAAGTATCCCCTTCATATAACCTGTGTCCGTCTATCTATTCCCTGAAAATCATACCATTCACTTATTCATCACTCTGTCTCCTCACATATGTTGATATCTCTCCATTTCCTCGTCAGTCATTGACTCACTTCCCTATCCACCATCCACTTACGTATCTCCTCCCCAGCTTTACCCATATTTCAATTTACTCATTACTCTATTCATCCATTTTCTACACGCATCCATCTCGCTACTCACTCACCAAAATACTGCCTCTTTACTCACCATTCACCATTCCCCTCCGCGTTTCAGGCGTGCGTCGTGTGCGGAGACCACGCCCCCTTCCTGCAGCCGAGCGCCGCCCTCGTCTGCGACTCCTGCAGGGCCTTCTTCTGGAGGAGTGTCGTGGACGCGTCTTACAAGGACTTCGCCTGCGCTAACAGCTGGGGTTGCATGGTCACTGTGTCAGCGAGGAGGGCCTGTCAAGCCTGCAGGTTGGTGTTGCAAGGTGTGGTGTTGACTCGGTGGCTTTGAGGCTTCTTGTAGGTAAAAATTGTGGTGGTGATTATTGCAAGGCGGTGCTGATAAAAGGGTATTGGTGGTGATTCTGATGGTGGTGTCTGTAAGGATGGTGATAATAATGGTGGTGGTTTCCATAGTGCCGATTGGTGTTTGGTAAGAATGGTGATGACTTAAGTGGTGTTGATAGGATTTGTAATGACTTTGTTGTTGTTCGTAAAAAAATGGTGATGACTTTAGTGGTGTCGATGAAAAGTAATGATTTTGTTCAAGAATAAATTTGACTTTAGTGTTGCTGGTAAGGATGGCGATCCTCTGGCAATGTTGATAAGAATAGCTGTAGCAATGGTAATGAATAAGAGGGTGGTGAAAAGGACAGTGTAGTTAGTGATGACTGCGATGACTTTCGCAAAAAGGAAGAGAGTGAACATGAAAAAAAATGTTTTTTATATACTTACTCACTATTCTTAAAAGTGAAGATTTTATATAGGCCTGTTGTGGTGATAATGATCACCAGAAGAGATCCTATTCTATACATCGACTATAATTTGAACATCTATGAGTCAAAAAAATAGAAGGAAAAATAACGAAAATGGATCAAGACTCATACCCGCAAACAACAAAAATAATCAACAACAACAAAAACAATAAAATAACAA